ACGCGTGCGATATATCTTGCGATATATATTTTGCAAAACTACGCAAAAAAGAATTGCGTAGTTTCTTAGGTTTCGTTGTTGTTTGTAGACCAACATTGAAAAACGTGTCCAAAGTTTTTTGTTTTGCATCCCTTTCCTTTTGTCTTTTCAACTCCTGTTAGCAACTTACAACAGCGGTAATATCACGAGAAACGTTGACGCTGTGCTCTTTATTGGGATCATTGTGAGGATGGATATTCCCTGCTCAAAATGCGTAAGTGTATTGGATAACTTTTTTAAAGTCAATTGTGGGCTTGTGATGTTAACTAAAGTTTCATTGACAATATTTTTAGTAATGTATGCTCTTCTATACTGGCGGCTTCAACCATGGAACTGCATATCTCCAACCACCGTGGCCAGTTATTGCGGATTATGGGTGATAGGGGCAGTCTTCCTGAGCAATACAAAAGCATAAAGACCAGAGTGCGAAATGAGCGAATCTTGAATGGTTTCAGAGAAAAGTTGGCGGGGTTGCGATGGAGTCTGCTTTTTCAGAGGAGCTCTGGTAATGATCGTTACAATCTATTCCATGAACGTTTTTTTTCCCAAATATAGCACATTTTTCCCAGTACATAATAAAAGGGTTAAAATAAACGTGAGAAGCAGGTGTAGATTATCGCAATCTGTTCTGGAGAAAAAGCTTTTGTTGAATTCGCTGGGTATGATGGCTGCGAGTAAGAGAGATGCTGAATCTTACGAAATTTATAATACCTGTAAGCGGGAATATCTACTACTGGTGAATAATGAAAAAAAGAAAAAAATTCTGAAGCTATTCAAAGAGCTGCCAACAAAAATAAGAAAATGTGGGAGATAGTAAGCACAGAAAAAGGCACTAAGGAAAATAAATCACAAGCTAATAATGATTTAGACGTTCCTGGTATCAGTGAGCATTTTTCAACGGAAGTGCAGTCACTGCTCAACACGATCACAATGTCCTCGACTCATTCTGAGGATTACTTAAGAAAGTAATCCTCAGAATTCTCAATTCTTGCTTCTTCAGACCTACAGATGCTGAACAGATTTTAAGTATAATTAAAAATATGAAACGAAGCCATAGTCAAAACATGTATGACTTTACCGCTATTATGATCAAGGAAGTAGCTGGGATATTTGCGCAGCCCCTGGCTATAATTTTCAATAAATGTATGGACGATGGAGTGTTTCCGGAAAAACTCAAAATTGCCAAAATAACTCCGGTCTATAAGAAAGGGGACAAAAGCAATTACGGCAATTATCGCCCGATTGCACTCTTGCCAGCCTTTTCTAAGGTATTTGAACAAATTATCAAAAAAAAAAAAAAAAAAACTTTCTAGAGGCTATAGAACGGGCAAATCAACAACATCGGCTATTATCGAACTTATTAGTCACATCACGGAACCACACGATGATTATGATAGGGTCAGAATAAACTGTTGTGATCTTAGTCGGGCTTTTGATACGGTAGATCATCATGTTGTCTAAACTTGATTATTATGGCATCAGGGGAAAAGCAAATATATTGCTAGAATCGTATTTATCCGGACGATATCAGTGTGTCAGGTGGAACTCGGATCTCTCAGAAATGACAGAATGCAAATGGGGTGTTCCCCAGGGATCAATACTTGCCCCCCTTCTATTTATAGTTTATACAGGGTCATCCACGACGACCGTCCATTAGAACTATACAGGGTTCTGGCCAAAATAAAAATTTGAGAATAAAGATTTTAGTATTATCAATTGAGTTCTCTTTGACTAAAATATTTTCAGATTTCTAACATTTCCGATTACACCGGAAGTCGCCACCTACTTTATTTTTCTAAATGGAACACCCTATATATTTTTACATATTTGCATTTGTCTGTTTATGAATAACTTTACGTTTTGCAATTTTATTCGACCGTTCTCGAGTTATTTGAATTTTTCTAGAAAAATCTGCTGCAGCAGACATTTGTTCAAAAAATCAGAGATCGCTCGATTTTTGGGATATCAATTTAGGATTCAGAACATGCTTAAGCAACATGATGGAGTATGTTTTGGTGTCGAGTACGGCTGTCTAGAACGTTTGGTCACTTTACTATGGCACGTTAACTTTTCGAAACTTGGAAGTACCATAACTTTATTTTTTTGAATGGCACCCCCCATATTTTATTACTTAGTCGTCTTCGATGTCTCATTTTACATCTTTTATATCACATATGTCCTATACCTAACATTTATAATTTGGAAGATAATTAGGGTTGTTTGAAAAATGCACACATATCATAACAATATTTAACCTAGTGTGACTTAATGAATAACCAAACGAACTGGGGGTTTGAAAATTTGCAGACTTGTGATAACACCCTGTAAAAATATACAGGCTGTTCCATTTAAAAAAATAAAGTAGGTGGCGACTTCCGGTATAACCGGAAGTAGTATAGTTCTATAGTATAGTTCTAATGGATGGTCGTCGTGGATGACCCTGTATAAATGATCTCTCAAAAAATGTAGAAAGTGCTATGTCATGTCTCTATGCGGATGATGCCTCCTTTGTAGTTCGAAGGCATGCTGCCGAGGATATTAAGAATAGTAGTAATGATACACTCGTCTCTGCTGGTGGGTGACTGGTTATGTGCAAATAGGTTAATAATAAATAAGAAAAAGACTCAAATACTAGTCTTCTTCCACAAACAAGATAAGAATACTGTAAAGCTTCTAGGCCTGATGTTCGATACCTCATTAAATTGGGGGGAACATATAAGTGCATTGTGTACTCGGTTGGCGGGTGTGGTGTTTTTGGTACGCAGATTGACACATTGTGCTACGCTAGAAGTCGCCAAAACGGCTTATTTCGCGTGTTTTCAAGTCATCGCCGGGTATGGTGTTACAGTGTGGCGATCGGCCTCGGCAATGCAGAGAATATTTTTGCATCAAAAGAGGTGTGTGCGTGCGCTTCATGGTCTCGGACAAATGGAAGGTTGTAAACCGTCTTTCAAAAGACATACCATTTTAATAATTCCGTGTTTGTATGTGTTAGCATCCTTGAATTTTGTGCATAAAAATCATTTGCATGACTATGATACACATAATAGATTACTTTTTGAAGTACTGTCCCATCGCCTTAAAACAACACAATAAGGTGTTGATAATCACGGCACGAAATTTTATAACAAGTTACCAAATTGTATAAAGTCGTTGAATTGTGTAAAATTCTATAAAGATATTAAGCATGAGTTCATTAAGCAATGTTTTTATTCGATTGACGAATTTCTAACTGGCGAAAAATTGGTTGACTCTGTAGTTTAGAGATTTTGCGTTTTAGAGATTGTGTTGGTCTATGTTCTTTTCTTTTGTAACGAATTGTACTACATTTGTAGACAAAATAATTTGAATTTAACTATTTCTTCTTCAGCCTGAAGTATTTCGTTCTCTGCAAGTTCAATTAACTCGCCATTCGAAAGTGACTGGCGATCGGCATCCAACAAATTCACGACATCATTTTCTTCCAAATCTTCAAAACCAACTTCTTTTGCTAAATTTAATATGTTTTGTCTAATTTCTGGAAGGAGGAGAACAGGGCTACTGTTGTTTGTTGCAGGACTAATACAATCGGGCAAAATTTTTTTGCATGCGCTGTTTAATGTTGTTGATTTGAGGTCATCCCATGATTCGCCAATATTGTCTACAGCATCTTTTATATTGAATTGTTTCCAAAACTTATTAATTGACAATTTGCTATCGGTTTCATTAACAAGTTTTCGAACCGGTTTTCGAATTATCTTATCGAATAAATTATCATATTACTCCCTGATCTATTGCCTGAATCAGGTCAGTATTTTTAGGCAGATATTCAATTTTCGTCCCATATATTGGTGGGATGTCCGGGAGCGTCATCCAAGAGAAGCAGAATATTCAATCTTTTTTGGATATCAGTTTACATTTACCACATGTTTTTGTCGTGAAACTATAAGTGAATATTTATCGTTTGTCACGACCTCCAATCCATGTAACTCGCCACAGGGGCTTTATTAACACGTATAAAAAAATATTGTATATATTGTAAATTGTTGTCATATTCAATACTTACCCACAGCAGTCCAAGTAGTGCATATATCTTTGCACTGCAACGGAGAGCGGTGAGAGTAGTGGGGGGTCTTGGGTACACAGAAGACTGCCGAGATGTTTTTAATAGATTAAAGATTTTAACTCTACCCTCACTTTTTATTCTCGAATGCGCTCTGTATGCTTTTGATAACAGCGGACATTTTGCGATACATGCCGATATTCATGAGCACGATACTAGGAATAAGAATAAAATTTATAACGATTACTGCCGTTTATCCAAAACACAGCTTGGGCCAGAGTACTTATCTCGAGTGGTACTTAATAAGCTGCCGAGTGAATTAATAGGAGAGTCTAATAGAATGATTTTTAAAGGTAGCTTAAAAAAGGTTTTGTGTCAGAAAAGATTTTATTCTGTGTAGGAGTTCCTAAATGCGGAGATCGGATTGTAACCACCATTTTGGTTTTTGTTTATGCTAGTATATTTATTAAATAAGAAAATGTATTTATTTGGACGAGTGTAATAGCAGCAGCTTAAGTAACACAATAAACTATTAATATTATTGTTACGTAAACCTTATTTTGGCCTATACTATCACTACCAAATTGCACTTAATTTGTGAGGGATAGTTATGACATTTCCATTGTTATAGAAGCGTACAGGTCCGATTGTTATCCTAATAAATTTAATTAATAAGTCATTGCTAAATCGGCCTGAAGAGTGGCCTATTAAGAATTGTTGAAATTGTTTTATTAATTTAAAAAAACGAATGAAAACAGTTGGTTTCTTCTGCGTTTGTATAATACTCACTTCATAGAGCGAAAATGACACAGTGCAATCGCAGAAATATTTTCAACTGTTACCAATTGTTTATGAGATATATGTTACTAATGATTAAAAATTAAATTTGAAATGATTTTTTGAATTGTATTTGTTTCAGGATTCTTTTTCTTCGTCAGCAAATAAAAACGTTGGAGGAATTAAAGTCCCAGAATTCATTTATGTCCGATGATTCTTAGTGCAAAAGTATTCACAAAACTCTAGTGTTAATGGCTAATCGTTATTTTGTTTTTCATTCTTTTTTTTATTTAAGTGAAAGGAATGGTATGCGTACATTGGTTTTTTGACGTTGTTTAACAAACACGGTGTACATTTACGGATTTTCGCAAACTAAAATTCAACCCAAATGAGTTTTCAGACCTGTCGCAAACGACAGGACTTTAGGGCCTATTTGGCACTTTAAAAAATTATTTAGATATCTAAAGACTATCTCGATAGGTAGAATTTATTAAAAAGAAGATATGTGAATTTGTATTTGTATTATAACGGTTTTATGTTTTAGATGTAGCGAGAAACGAGATAATTCTTCTAGGCATAGTTTATTTCCCATTCTCTCCTCACCTAGATGTACATTTTCATTTGCTTACTGTGAGCAGTTATGTAATAATTCGTTTCTTCTATCATTTGTACATATATATTATACTTGTTTTTTTTTTTAGAATAAATATGTATTTATGTAAGCGGTTCACAATAAATTTTTAACCATTTAAGAATATAGTCTGACTTTTCTTTAAAGTACAAATTATTCTCTAAAGGCGATTTAAAAATTAAGCGGTAATTTGGTTATTGGAAACTTTTTATTGTATCATTTAAAATATTAAAAAGTGATTTGCTTTTTTTGTATCTTAGATGTAATAATTTTGATTGAAAATGTATTTATTTAATTAATATTTATACAAGTATAAGTATTTATTATTTCTGTCCTTTTTGTTTTGTAAATGTAGTACTGCATTAAAAATCTTTCACAATAAAATATTTCAGTCGAACTTGAGGCAGTATGAAAATGTACATTGGGTTACAACGTTGAATTATTAACAGGACAATAGCCTTTTCTATTAGCTAATTCTAAAAGTTTATTATTTAATTGTGAAAAACTTTAATAACTATTAACATTTTGTTCGTCTGAAACAAATTTGTGAAAATCCATCAATTTTTACGCGATTTAATTTTCGTGTATAGTCCGTAAAAATTATTTATAAATTTGTAGTTGTTTATATATTGAATTAACTGGTGAAAAAATAAACGTTTTGTTATAATTATATTGAGAATCATTTTTTATAACCAACATTTTTTGAAGACTTATTATTATTTTGGTCTCAATCTAAAACTATTTTTTTTTGTTTGTTTGCTTCCTTTTTTATTTTAAATAAAACTACAGATGTATCTGTAACCACGTTAAAATTAAACATTTTGACGAATTTATTAAAGTTTTTCACATTTTTTTAAACTAATAATTGTGTTTACCCTTTAACGCATCAAGTTTCAGTGATATTTATTGACACAATTTCCGCATTTTTATTGAGTGCTTTCCTATAGTGAACTATTATTTTGAAAGAAAATACAGTGGAGACTCGCTAATCCACACGGACGGTTTGGATTATCGAAAAATTTCGATTACTGAATCATCGTTAAAATAATTTAAAAAATTGTTGCGTCTATTAACACCAAAAAATAACACAGATTTCCAAGAAAAAAAAGTACAGTCATGTTCACGGGAAATGCACACTCAAGGTTAAGCGCTGTTGTGAGATCCGACATGCCGTTGGTTCGGCTGGCTAAACAGGTTGAGCCGAACGCCCACGAGCCTCGAGCTTCGTGTGCACTCGGCTCAGCCTGTTTAGCCAGCCGCATGTCGAATCTCACAACAGTGCTTGACCTTGAGCATTTCCCGTGAACATGACTGTACATAATACATAAGTTGTAATTCAGTATGACATCTTAAAGCACGGTTTCCTAACCTTTTTTCGTCGAGCCTCCCTGGATTATAACTAATATTTTTATGCTCCCCATTATTTTTTGTTTTGATATAAGAGTTTATTTTGCTCGACATCGAAACCCCAAGTATCAACCATACTTATGGTGGTCGACGTCTTCGAAGTCGTTCGTTTTAAACTAAAATTAGAATCTTTCGGTTTAAGCGTTTCTAAGTCTACTAATAATGAAATTTAATAAAATTATTAAGATTATTATTAAATTTCTGCGTTAAATTAATTTTTCTTTCGAAAATGGAAACTTATTTGTCCTCCTTGACATCTCTCTATGCCCTCCTAGGAAGGCGTGTCCCCCGGTTGGGAAATCCTGTCTTAAAGCATCACTAATAAGAAAAGAGATTGTAAAACATATACATAGGTACATAATTTAGTTAAAAAGTCGGTAATTTTTGCTAATCGACACTACAATTGTTTAGCTTCCATTGCTCGTTCTCGCATCAGCCTAAGTGTATGCAGTGTTCCTAATTTGGTTCCATTTTCTTCAGCCCATTTTATACAAGTGTTAAAACTGCTGATTACCTCTTCATGTGTCACTTTTGGTTCATTTACACTCTACAATACACTCGCGATAGTATGAACACAAAAATACCATACGTTTATACCAACGAGGGTGTAATTAAATTTAATTATTGGTTATATCTAATTCGATTATGTATACGTGGAAATTTTTTTTATTCCTTAAGATTTTTTGGGCAATTTTGGCCATATCTGCGTTTTCTTGAATTTCTTTCAAGGTATTCAACAGCTGCATTAATTAGTTTAATTGCTTCGAAATGGCAAATGTCAATGCACTCATTTTCATCTTCATTTGAAGAAGGTTGATCTGAGTCATCATCTGCTGCCTCATCCTTATCTAAATCTTCCACCCCTGCAGCAGCGTAATTTTAATTTTATTTTAAATTTGCTGTACATATATGATTATAATATAATTGAAATAAAACTATGTGTATTTATAGATGGATGGTTTTTTTAATTGTCGGCTCTACCGGTTTCGATTGTTACATTCAATCATCTTCAGGAGCTAGCCACGTCATTAAACATATTTTTAAGAAACATATCTTGTTTATTGTTTTTAGCTGTTATCTTCTTGATTCTGATTATTATTTACTTCTTCTTCTCTTTTTCGTTTTTACAAACGAAAAGAAACACATGGCTTGTAGTGGTGCAAAGAAATCGTTTTGATTAAATTAACAAAGAGAAGAAGTAAATAATAATCAGAATCAAGAAGATAACAGTTAAAACAATAAACAAGATATGTTTCTTAAAAATATGTTTAATGACGTGGCTAGCTCCTGAAGATGATTGAATGTAACAATCGAAACCGGTAGAGCCGACAATTAAAAAACCATCCATCTATAAATACACATAGTTTTATTTCAATTATATTAAAATTGAGATGGAAAGAAATAACCAAATTAATATTATATATGATTATGCTATTGACTTCCAAAATCACTCATTAAAATCATTAACTTACTGGAAGTAGTTTCTATAGTGAATTTATTCTATCATCCATAATAGCAGCAGGGACCAAAGCTTTTTCACATATTAATTTTTCCCTTAATGTACTTAGTGGAATGCTATCTTGGTCTGCATCCTCATTATGTTCCTTAAAATCTGACAGGATGTTTTATCAAGTCTTCTCGATTACTGTTGAGCTAAGTTTCTCGCAGGCCGCAGACTAATGTATGATGAAATCTTACTGAGTTCTGCAGCTATTCCTTCTTCTGTTGATACAACAAAACTGAGCAAACTGTTCCTATAGTACACTTAAGCGTGTTTCAGCCGTATGAAACAAATGGTAGATAATTTTAACTCTTACCTCATTTACAAAATGTTGAAAAAACCATTCAGCAATGGGTTGTTAAAATTCTTAAAACATCTTGAATTTTTTGATTTCCCTATCAATAGGAGTTTGAGCTTATATAAATTTGCAGCATTTACGCAACCCATAAACATCAGTTGTTGCTTTAATCCAGGAGCAATTTTTTCAGCTAATTAGACATAAGTTTTTAAGCGCTAATACAATCTTGTCTCATCAGCATTATAGATTTGATGCCGCTTTAGGTCTTGAATAATACGTTTTAGATCCTTTTTAAAAGGGTCTACTACATCTGGATTGGCTGATAATTTCTCTCCTATGATTTTCAAAAATTTTAAGCCACGACGGTGTTTAAATCTTTACAACCAACCATCACTGGCTGTGAAAGTATCAATATTCAATTGTTTTGATAGTGATAACGTTTTGTTTCAGCACATTCCTCGAAATTCGTGAATTATTTTTTCTTTGTTTAAAAAATTGTACAATTTCTCTTCTAAAAGTGGAAATGCAAACTTTTCAAGATGCATTTTTTCGATAGCTTTAGCGTCTGATTATGAGTTATCGTATAGATAATAAGATTTTAATTTTTTTATTCAGCAAATTGTTGATTTTCAAATTCTGTATGTTTAGATGAGGTCGTGACTAACAGTCCTTTTTACTTTCTTCGATTATATTAGCTTTTTCTCTTAAACTCAATGTATTTACATCGGAGGCACATTCACAACTACGCATGATATGTAGAATGTGCTTTTAATAAGGGACTTTCCCGAGCGGTAAATAATTAAAATCCCTGATAGAAACGCATAATCCACTTTTTCGCCCCAACGAAAATCCAAGCTGTTCACACTATACGGCGTTTAATGCAAATAATTTCGTGTTCACACCACCGAGAGGTTCCCATTGCGGAATGTTTGCATCATCAAGTGTACTGTATAACTGTTTCATCATCTAAAACACTCTCGTCGCTATCTAGAGGTAAAAAATCATCATTTCCAATCCATTCGTTAAGTCCAGTTTTGGTATACTGATGATTGTCAGACGAAATTTGTTGCAAAATGTTTCTGATTTCAGTAAATGCTTGCTGATTGTCTTCAGAAAGTAACTTTTTCTTTATGGCAATAATGGAGATATCAGTAGCATAAGAAAATATTGTTTACCAGCACTTATTTATTGTATCAGTCGACACGTTTTCTCAAAAGCGCGAGATAAGAAAAACTACATCCATCAAGTTAATATTTTTGGGCATTTGAAATGTCGTCCTCAGCAGCCATAATGTGGACCAAAAGACTTTTTCGTTAATAAAATTTTGTTAATCATATGGTGTTGGGTATTCTATTTGGTATTGTGATCCATTGGCTAAAGTAATAGGGTTCAATTGTTCTTTTTTTTGATTTAATCTTACTTTTTTGACAAAAGATGTCAACGAATAGAGCGGATGTCATCCATGCATTGTTGGTCGAATGGTACTCAACTGGAAATTAGCGTTTTTAGAAGCTTGAGATTTTTTAGCTTTGCCAATAACCACCATTTTGAGTTTATGAGTACTATTGCCATTGGCACAAGTGAAAAGAGTTACTCTCTCTTTGAGAGATTTCTTTGATGTGTTCTAAGGTATGATCTTGTAGCAGCTTCCAAAATAGTGCTGATTCATCAGCATTTTATATGTGGCTAGGTAATAGCTTAAACTCGTTCATTTTCTCCGTAAATATTTTCAGAAGCGGTTATACCACTGTAAGATTGCGTTTGTTTAAATCGGTTAATCCAACACTCACCAGCATTAAATTTGTTATTATTGTAATGTTTGGCATAAATCTGCATAGCCTTTCCATTAGAACAATAGTGGTTATGTTCGCATCTCTTTCTCATTTTGACAAAAACCATTTATAAACTTCTGTTTCAATTAGATGGTAATCAGACTTGCGCAGTATGCACCTGCACCAAAGTTTATTTCAAAATTTCCTGCTTTTTACTAAGTGTTAGCGTTTTATACGCTCGTTTAGTCATCATACTTTGGTAAGAACATACCAACATGATCTGATTGTATATATCCAATGTTAAAGCAATTTTTCAATTTTGTTCTAATTAGTGAATCTCCAGTGTATTTTTAATTTTTTCAGTTTAAAGCATTTTTAATCTACATAAAATAAACCTTTTATTCGATCTAAACGATCAAAATTGAACAGGATGTTACCGACGTTTATTTTTCTTAGAAAAGCATTTCATTGGTATGCGTTAAAGGGTTAATAAGAATGATTAAAATGAAAACTTAACATGTGATACTAACGAAGGGTGTTGTCCGTATACATCTCTATTTACATATAATTTTGTAAATTTTCCATTACTTATAATTTTTATAGCACCTTCTGCGACCGATCAACGTATAGTTTTTATTGTAATTTATTGTTGTTCTTTATTTAAACCAAAAAAAAGAGACAAAACTTATCAT